GTAGCTTTACATGCAAGGAATGCCATGAAAAATCAGATGGGAGAGGTCTTACTGATATCATAGGCCATATATGGTGTTTATGTAGCTGATATTACTAACAGCCATTGTGTTCCAATATTTTGACATGCACGCTTGGGATCAAGGCATTTTGCTTTTTGTTTGTTAGTTTCAAGGAATCTTTGTTAATTTGAAAACAAAATTTAAAAAAAAAAGAAATTAAGTGGCTGAAAATATTGGGATGGGGAGTGATTAATGGAGAGAACTAGAGGTTTGGTGTGGAAAAGGTCATCAACTGGGTTGCGTTGAGGATGGAGTTTTGTTGGGCATTGCTAATTATTTTGATTTTATTATTTATTTTATTATTTTGATTTTATATTATTAATTTAATGTCAAAAGGGCCCAGAAAAGCAGGTGTCTTCTTATATATTTTAAATCTCAAGAAATAAGTGTATCATATAAACCCAATGACCCTTAAAACCTGTATTTTAAAATTTCTATGAAATCTTGGAAAATGTTGTTGTCTTTTGTTTCAATTCAAAGTATTCCCTTTAAATAAATGAAAAATACACAAACTGTCCAATCAGGGGGCCAAATGGGTCTAGCTAAGCGGGTGTGTTGATTTCTGCAGGAATATGAGTGCCTGTCATAAACAACATATGCTTCCTGATCTCATGATGATCATAAATTTACTACTTTCAAAATGTAATATCAAGGTAAATTTTGCACAGCCTCTCATTACCTGCATTTATTTAGAGTAATTTTATTTCTTGGCAGTTGTTCAGTTCCTAGGTAGTGAGAGTAATGGAGAGAAAGTTAACGAGTTCCCAAAGCACATATTTAAATGGTAACAGTAAATTGCTCATTCTCTTCCAAGTGGATCAGCCTCCAGTGGCAATGAAGGGGAACACGCAGGAATGAAAGCTTCAAAGTGGTAGCCAAGTGAGTCTGTAACTAGAGAAACTTAAAAAACAACAAATAAACTGGCAGACTAACACTATTAACATGATATTTTCAGAAAACATGATTTCTATAAACAGAAAGCTTCAGTTCTGTGGGGAGAGCTCCATTTCAGCACACGGCCTACAGTAATGAAAATACATACCATCCAATCCTCCACTGACAAAGGCTTCAGTGTGTTATACCTGAAAGGAAAAGACAGCTCAGAAATAACCAGCTTCCTTCAAGGCTGCAATAGTGGTCAGTGAAACTCTAAAATTCATTTTCAGGGTGAAGCAGCATTACAGGTCAAAGGATTTTCCAGAGTCATCTTTCCTGTCCAACAGCCTAAAGTTGTCTTTTGCCTTCTCACTCTCCCCCAAGCTAATGACCTGCAAGCCTGATCTAATGTTTGTCCTCCTGTACTTTACTCCGCACCCAGCCAAAAACGCACTTAGATTGCAGCACAGCCATTTTAAAGACTTCCAAAGCCTTATGTTCTTAATAGATTAGCCTTGTGTTTGAGAAATAAGTAGGGAAGTACTGCACAGGCTCCATGCTGTGGAGGGAGGAGAGGAGTCCTGAGCCTGTGGACCACCTGCAAAATGGCCGTGGACCACTAGCGGTCTACAGACCACACTTTGAGAATCAATGTTTTAGGCACTGCCACTGTCTAAGCCATAACTGAGTCCTTTGCTTGTATTTCAAATCACAGATCCCACTACTTCCACTGAACACTGAATATTTAAGCATGGGAGACTTGAAATTATTCTGTCTTTAGGATTTTTTTTCAAGAATTTGTTGAAAGTTTTATAAACAGATATGCCCAGGAGGGAAACCGGACACCTTCTAGTATCTGCTTGGTGCTTGGACAACTAAAACGCTTCAGCTTGCAGCTGTGTTTCTGGCTAGGTTGTTATATTAGTACCCTTTTGCAAAAACTTCTGCATGGGTAAATAGACTACACAATACAGTCTTTTACATTCTTAGTTGCTTTTAAATGGTAAGGAGGAAGGTTTAAAGCACTGACTTACTGATTGGTTGAAGGATTTGATGGCCCAAAGAACAACCAAATTTTATTAATCCCCAGGAAGTGCCCGACACTGGGGTTGTTATTGCTAATATAAGCTGGAAGTGAAATAAACCATACACAGAAGGTGAAAGGATTTATTTTTATGAGTGATGTGTTTCTGTACAGAGCATTTGAAGAGAGTTAATGCCCTGTACTGTATACTAGCTAATCAGATTTTGTGAATTATCTCTCTGCAGCCTATTCATTTCATAATGTAACATGTCCTGCCTTCTTCACTGCAGACTTTATTTATAAATCACATGCAGAATCCTACTCCAGTGTGAACAGTTGAATTCATAAAACTTTTTTAAGGCAGCAGGAGTTGTACATTTCCTAACATGAATCATAGTAAACCACAGTAAAAACTACCAGCAGCAATGAGAAATGTCCAAGAATTTATGTGACTTCATCTAAGAATTAGAATGTTGTCAGCTTAGTTTTGAGAAATGGAACAAGCCTTAAAAGAAGAAAATAATCTGTGACTGAGAAAAAGAACTAGATGCCTGCTCTGAAGACTCTGCCTAATACAATTTAAATGCCATGAAATCTATAAAACACATCACTCTTATTAGGCAATTTCATGTCTTAAGTGACTGTCTCAAACCATTATTTATCTCTGTTGAGTGTCAGTCTGGTTCTTCTTTATTAGAAGACCAACTATGCTGAGAAACTGATTTGTCTGTCCATTTTGTGGTCACTTAAGGAGGTTTCTCTTGCTTGCTCATTCTTAACATTGGCCTAAAAGAGCAATTTAATATGTTGTGACATTAAACATTGCGCTGCTATCAATATGTTAAAAAAACTAAGTAATAGCATAGCCAAAGCCATAAGACAATAAATATATTGACTTCGTCACCAGTAAATATTCTGACATATTTGATGAGCAAATTGTATTCAAAAGGGAGAACAGACATTTTCACAAGTGTGTGGCTGACAAAGCTGCCCAATTTCACGTGTGCTGCACTCTCAAGCAAAGGTCTAGGTTTAGTGCATGCACACAAATTCTACACATTTGTCAAGAAAGAAAAGAACTAACAGGAAATAATTGGAGTCTTCTGTTCTATTTGCTCTGGGAAGCAGCGGAAAAGGGACCAAACATCCTTGAACTGAAAAGGATAAGAAAGTTAAAGCCTTAGGAAATCCCAGAGGAAACCAACACCTTGCACAGGAGAGAGGACAAAAACTATGTTATTGGAAACTGAGACTTGAAAAATAAACAAAGCCACCAATTGTGTCATGGATGGACAAAAACAGAAAGGACTTCCTGTATTCTTTCCTAACAAAGGCCATTCAGGGTTCAGAATAAAAATTAAACACAAGTACAATTAATAGACAAAAAATGAAATAAAATAACTCTATTGTGGGAGAGAAAGGATTTCAGGATAATCCAGAACTATAACGTAAAAGATCTAAAATGAGATCACAAAGAGTGTCCGAAAATGAGAAGTATTGTGTTTAATTTAAAGGGGGCTATTAAACAAAAATATGAATTAAAGAAAATAGAACTGGCTTTTTTTACCTCTCAGTTAACTCTAGAGACTGGGGAAAGTTCAAACATATTTGAGGGAGAGAGGGGCTAAAAGAACATGAGCTCTGCATGTGTATCAGGTAACAATTATACTTGGCTCATGTTACTAGGGTAATTCAGACTCCATGCCAGTTCATTCTTTGGCCACTCACCATAGTCTGCAAGAATCTGGTGCCAAGTTGTAGGGTAGCTTTAGTTATGAGGTCTCCATATTTATATAAATCAACAGTGTACACTCATCTGGAATACTGAGAGTTCTGCTCCCTCCATCTAAGAAAGATTATAACAGAATTAGAAGTTACAACACAGTCAGCAAAAATAAGCAGGGACATGGAAAAGATGAAGGTTGTTTAACTGAGGGAAGGGACAAATAAAAGGGGTCATGATAAAAGGAAATAGAAAATAAACAATAAAAGAATCTGGAGCTTCTGTGCTCATAATATAAGAACATTCAATGAAATTGAAAGGTGATAAATTCAGACTGATTTATTTCCTTGTACAAAGCATGATTATACTATGGCACCCATTACCACATATCTTTGAAGCCTATAGCTCTTAACAGCATTCAGAAAGGGACTTAACTATAATTATGGAAAACAAGACTATGCAGAGCTATAATAGTAAATGTTGTTTTTAAAAAATCAAATGTTTTCTAAGAGATGTAAACTTTCATGCTTCAGGGCTTAAGCCAATCTCTAACTAATGGGACTTATCAGAAAACTTTTTCAAGGGGTAGGTTATTCCTTAACTGCCTACAGTCACACTTTCCCCTGAGAGCTAGCGGGAGACTCACTGACAGGATATTGGATGAGACAGGCCCTTGTTTGAGCCCATGTAGGCAATTCCTGTATTTCTTTGACCTTTAGGAATGAAACCATTTCATCTAAAAGTTCCAGTATGAACTTCAGCTAGTAACAGTTTTTTGAAAGTTCCAGTATGAACTTCAGCTAGTAACAGGTTTTTTTTTTTTTTGCTTCTTATCTGAACCTAATTAAAAACCATGGAATCCAATAAAGATAGACCATCTCTAAAATAAAGACACTTAATTAAAGGAGAGAGATGCATTTTATATAGTTACAGTCAAGCAGCATGTCTGGGGTTCATTGTAGTGATCTAATGAAAGACCAAGTATAAATGCTATTGATGGGACTGCTTTTTCAATTACTGATGGACGTCAAAAACACAAACAATTTTGTTTATATTTTCTGAATCAGTTTTATGTTGAAAGTACTAAAATTGGTAAATTAAGCTAAACAATTAAGGAATCTTAACAAATAGGTTAGAAAAGAGGCCTGGAAATTTTCTGAAGATGCACAGAGCTTTTTCTAGGACTGGAGATGAAAGGCTACATATAACAAAGAAGCAGTTTCTGCCCCAAAAATCTTATAATTGAAGTATGAGAGATCTTTCTTACATAAATCATTAAATTTAAATGTATTCCTCATATTTTTTCTGTATTTCCAGAGAAAGAATTACCAATATACCCTTTCTTCCAATGTATCCTTTGAAGTTAAAAAGATGCCATATAAAGTGCAGCCAGCAAAACACCCTGAGGGAAGCATAGCAGTAAGTATTACAGAAAAAAAGTTAAGATTTAAACACATGAATTATTATGGTTATCCTGATCACAGTTGTAAAGGCTTTCTATATATATATGGAAAAGCAAAAACAGTATTTCCTGTGTTTCCTGAGTAAGTTCCTTGAATACTTTTTAAATGAATCTTCCTTATTGCTCTTCTGTGCATGAAGCCGATATGACAAAGAATTCAATTTTTAATTAGTTGCTCAGTTCTTTAACAAATTGTAACATCGTGTGTTGCTTTAACGACAGTGATATTAGATTTTTCATGTAAAAAAATCTTGTTCCATCAAAGCCAACTCTAATCATCTCTGAAATTCCTCAGTGGGCAAACAGTCTACAGGGAAAACTTTTACCATCTCATCTCTGTTATGTTCATTTATTTAAAACATGTAGCTGGTATCTTCCCAATCAGCAGGATGCAACCACAGGCTCTGGTCTCATAGGCGATTTTAATCACCCTGACATCTGTTGAGAGACCAATACAGCAGTACACAGACAATCCAAGAAGTTTTTGGAGAATGTTGGAGATAACTTCTTGTTACAAGTGCTGAAGGAAATGACCAGGAGCCATACGTAGCTTGACCTGCTGCTCACAAACAGGAAAGAGCTAGGAGGGGAAGTAGAGGTGGGTGGCAACCTGGGAAGCAGTGATCATGAGATCACCAACTCAGAAATTCGGTCATCTGAAGAAGACCACAAGCTAAATATGAGTCAACAGTATGATGCTGTTGCAAAAAAAGCAAACATGATTCTAGAATGCATTAACAGGTGTGTTGTGAGCAAGACACGAGAAGTCATTCTTCCACTGTACTATGCACTGGTTAGGCCTCAGTTTGGAGTATTGTGTCCAGTTCTGGGCACCACATTTCAAGAAAGATGTGGAGAAATTGGAGAAGGTCCAGAGAAAAGCAACAAGAATGACTGAAGGTCTAGAGAACATGACCTATGAAGGAAGACTGAAAGAATTGGGCTTGTTAAGTTTGGAAAAGAGAAGATTGAGAGGGGACATGATAGCAGCTTTCAGGTGTCTAAAATGGTGTCACAAGGAGGAGGGCAAAAAATTGTTCTTCCTGGCCTCTGAGGATAGAACAAGAAGCAATGGGCTTAAACTGCAGCAAAGGAGGTTTAGGTTAGATATTAGGAAAAAGTTCCTAACTGTCAGGGTGGTTAAACACTGGACTAAATTGCCTAGGGAGGTTGTGGAATCTCCATCTCTGGAGATATTTAAGAGTCAGTTAGATAAATGTCTATCAGGGATGGTCTAGACAGTAGTTGGTCCTGCCATGAGGACAGGGGACTGGACTCAATGACCTCTCGAGGTCCCTTCTAGTCTAAGTACTCTATGATTCTATGGGATCCGGAGTGTGGGTCATTTGGGGGTTGATTGCTTCATTGGCAACACTTCCAGATAGTCTTGAAAAGAGAAGCTAATACTCCTCTGCCACTAGGAGATATGATGATCATTCATTCCAACCAACAAATGCAGAAAATTATCTGAAAGAACATCACATCAAAGTACATTGGTTTTTGGTGCCTTTCTACTTCGGCTTTTGAGAGGATAATCTCCCCAGTCACAGATCCCATCAATAAAGGGGACCCATCAATAATCTCCACCAGGTCTGGTGTGGCTTTTGGCCGGAAGGAGATCTGTGGAGTATTGGCTGTGGTGTTATCCATAAAGTTTGCAGCAGCCCCACTGTCCTCTTCGCTAGTTCTGCAGGCATCAGCTGCACCTCCCTTCGGACCTAGATGACTGGGATTTTCCATGAAGACTAGCTCATCTTTTACCTCAGCATTGGCAGCAGAACTGGTAAAGTTGGACCACTTTATTCCATTCAGTGTCAGCAACAAACCATCAGAAGTAGGCTGCATAGGTGATGGCTGTCCCTGGCCTCAGGGAAAACATTTGCAGAGCAGCTACAACATAGGTCATCAAAGATGGCTGCAAAGGCTTGCAGGAGGGCTTACCCATCAGAAAGCTGTTCTACTCTACTATGGGGGACGGCGGGGGGTGAGGGAGAGACCAAATCAAGCATGTCACCTGTGAGCATGCTGATAATTATCTCACAGATCAGACTAAGAGAGGGCACATTTGGAGGCAGAGTGGGAAGAGAAGTCTGCATTGGTTCAGGAAACTGGAACTTTCATTGATCCTTGTGAAATCAGTCAGGCAGTAGCACCCAAGGTGTCTGGTTCTGCTGATGCTTGGTCTACCAATGTGTCCTATCAAGGAACAGAATGTTTTCTAGCCTATAAGACCAATACAGTGATTTAGAATTATAGAGGCAAAATATATTGAATGTGATTGAGGATTTAGAATTTTTCCTTTGAATCATTCCCTTTTTTGAACAGGTGTTGGCTGTGTAGATGATTTATGTTTAGGATTGGAAACAAGAGGGTGAAATCCTGGCCCAATTGAAGTTAATGGAAAAACTCCCATTGACATCAATAGGGCCAGGATTGCACCGGGTGAGTTTTGATGCTCAATATACTGTGTTCATCCAGAGAGGTTCAAAGCCTCCAAACTGAATGATAAATTCAGGTGATTTGTGTTTTCTGCAACATGTGTTTCATAATAGAAACACATGTTGCACGGAACATTTTTTACCATCCTGCATCCATCTGGACTGAAATGCTTTGCCACAGGTTTGCCTGCTGTTCTCAACAAGTCTCAGATGATCTACCAAATGATCTGATAAGAGTAAAAAAAGGCTTTTACTGCAGTTTAATGCTTGTTGTTTGGCATAGACGATTTATGCACAATTCCTGTTATGGCAACTGTAAAATATTGACAAATTATAGTGCTTTTATGTCTTCTCCTATCTGACTGTCACAATGGATGACTGCCAAGTCTACAGCTTGATGTGATATGTACACAAGATCTTTTGAAGTCTTACTTGAGAAGAATTTTTCTTGAAGTCCAGCAATACTTCATATTTTTGCTCTTTGTGTAAAAGATCAGTGCTTGTGGTTTGAAAATATCTATCCAAGAATTTATTTGGAAGTTTGTCTCTTTGTTAGGAAGGGCAAGGGGCAGGAGAATAATGATTGCAACTTTTTTTAAAATCAATTTGAAACATGATTATACTTCATAAATGATTTGCAACCTCCATGGACTTGGAGTTTAGGAAAGATATACTGCAATAAACACTGCATACCTTCAGTATACTTCTGCTTCTTATGTGGAATCTCTTTAGTGGAGATTTGTGTGATGGGTTCCCCCTGGGACGTCACCTTGAACTTGAGGTATCACTGAGCCTTCTAACCCACCTGCTTGGGGTTCCTCTCTTACTGTGCTGCTGTTGCAAGCTGCAGACACATTCCTGGCCTTACACTTCCACCAGGATTCACGCCAATAAGGGCACACCAGATGCAGTTACATGCACATTCTCTGACCAGCCACCACATGAGGGTACATTATAACCAAAATAACCAGCAGATTCCCACTCTAGGACTAAAGAGTTGTACTGTACTGTCCTTGTCCAAACCCCAACCTATCTGAATGTATTAAACAGTTTGCCTTTCCTATCAATATGGAGAGGAAAATGCAACGGTCTTTTGCCCTTGAGCCATGATTTCCCATGCTCTTCTCTCCAACTCACTGGCTTAGATAAACCAAAACTAAGCTTATTAACTACAAAAAATAGCTTTTCAATGATAACAAACAGGTCAAAGCAAATTACATAGGAAATAAATAAAAACACAAAACCAAGCCTAAGATACTAGAAAGAATTGATTTGAATTAACAAATTCTCACCCTGGGCGATGGTATAAGCAGCCTTGCAGGTTCCTAAGGGCCTAGCTGCACTCGTTTTACAGCTTGGAATCGCCAGGTCTTTCATACACAGGCTAGAAATCTCTTTAGCCTGGGTCCAGCACTTTCCCCAGTTCAGTCTTTGTTCCTCAGGTGTTTGCAGGAGTCTTCTTATGTGGGAAGTGAACAACCACCAATGATCTCACACCCTTCCTCATATAGCTTTAGCATATGCTGAAAACCATTTGTTCCAAAATGTAGTTTGTAGAAAAACACTGACATCCCAGCCATGACTTACAGGCTGTCTGGAGCCATTCTCAGGAAGGCTCACAAGGAAGAGGATAAACTTATCCTAAGGCCTATTGTTTTGCCTAATGGCCCATTACCCTGGATGGCCCTTCTCCCACTATCTAAACTGAAAGCATTTTGCATAGTGGGCATCACCCAGATGTAACTACATGTGAAATAGTTCATAGCTTCATATACAAAAATAGTACATACATACTGTAGCAAATAGCCAATGCTGTTATGGTGGGTCCCTTGGTGTTGTAAGTTAGGGTGCCATCCCTACCCCTATTTTTGGCTTCACAAGTACCCTGGCAGGAGACAGAAGGGGAGCAGAGAAGGGACCCAGGTTTACTTCCTACTTCAGTCCCAGGTCCTTTTGCTTTTCACAGGGTTTCTACCATCTTTCCCCCTGGGTAGGGTTTCCCTCAGTCCTCTAAGATATAGAATTCCTCTGCCGTGCTTGGACAGGGTCTCCCTTTTCTTGGTACACTCATCTTCTGGTCAACATCAGTACACCTCCCAACTGCAGTCAGCTCTCCTTCCCTCTCTATCTGACTGAAGCATTGGGGGTTTATTAGGTCTCGGGCACGACCTTAACTGACGTTCCAATTATTCGTTAGTAACCTTTCCTTAATCCCCAGGGAATAAGGCCTTAATCATCCTAGGGTTTATACACCTCCCATCTCACATTCTCCTGCTGCTATCAAGCCCTACTGTATCACTATTCAAATAGGCTAATTCCATGCAGCAAATCATAACTTTTCCTCTTTCACCTCAAATGGCCCATTTTGTACAAAATGCATCATAATTATGCCATAATTATATAATAAAATCACTGTGAAGAATATGGTGTTCAGTATTACAATTTGCAACCATGGTACCCCATTCTGTATGATCCTCTGCTAATCTTGGAGTGGATGAATGGTACTTTTGAGTTACCCA